GAAACAAAGTCCAAAACTATATGTTGGATTCATTAATTAATGGGTGAAAAATAAAATCAGTCTAAGCTATTTAGATATCAACATTCTAATTCATATTTTAGTTCAAAGATGTTAATATTATTTAGTCATAGTCATATTCTCCTAATTCTGAAATACTTTCTTTCTTGAAATGCGAACGCTTTGCCAACTGCATGTAAATACAGTAAGACTGTCTATTGCATATACTTCCCCATCAGGATTTATCTAATGAGTAGGTACAAAAGAAACTATGGTAGCATGATTCCCATCTCTAAAATTTAATTGTGAGCCTAATTACTTCCAATCTAAATTACCTTCAGCTGATTGAGTCCAATGTTGTGCCTTTAAGGGACTCCCATAATTACTGTAGAATTCCTAGCATCTCCAGGACACAGTTGTTTTTCCATTTTGAGAGCTACCTATATCTCCCACTAATGGCCCCTCTCTGTTTTCTGTTATTATTGCTGTTTCGATAAACCTGAGTCAGTTTATGTGGCTTACAATCCAAAATTCTAAATAACGCACACCATAAGCTTATATTCAACATCAACTAGAATAAATTTGCCTAACCCAACCTTCACACTTTATTTTTTTTTATTTGAGAGGTAGAGTTATAGACAGTGAAAGAGAGAGGCAGAGAGAAAGGTCTTCCTTCTGTTGGTTCACCCCCCAAATGGCTGCTACAGCTGGCGCTGTGCCGATCCAAAGCCAGGAGACAGGTGCTTCCTCCTGGTCTCCCATGGGGTGCAGGGCCCAAGCACTTGGGCCATCCTCCACTGCACTCCCGGGCCACAGCAGAAAGCAGGACTGGAAGAGGAGCAACTGGGACTAGAACCTGACATTCATATGGTATGCCGGCACTGAAGGTGGAGGATTAACCAAGTGAGCCACGTTGCTGACCCCAACCTTCACACTTTAACAACAAGTTTTCTACAAGGGGCTCCTGTGTTTGGTGAACTACCTAGTTTGATATGCAAGTAGGTTGTAACCTAACCTAAGAGGATACTCTTACAGCTAAGTCTCTGAGTCTCTGCTGAGGTCACAGGCAATCCTTCAGCCATTCCAGACCAAAGTCTGCCAAATTATGTCCAACTGCCAAACTTCACCAGTCAGAGAAACTCCGTACGTCACATTCTGTCTTTCTGATTATAAAAGCAGTTACCGTCTGGATCTAGACACTTTCTCAGGCTCAAACAAACTATTTAATTTAACCGCTCTCAATTTTTTCTCTTACCATCAATCTGATATACCTTGAAATATAAAGTTTAACAAGAAAGTTCCCAATTCTCTGTTTCTGTTTCCTCTCTCCCTCATACTGCCTGTTCTGCTCACATCTTCCTATTACACAGTATCCCTCAATGATTTTAATGACCGTTCCAATGATTTTAACTTTAACATTTCAAAATTCCTATCCTCCTTCCCATGTAGCACCATTTTCTCGGAGCTGCTGACTTCAAGTAGAAGTCAAGAAATAGTCTGTGTGATTGCACTAAATCACACTAAATCATCAATAAGTGTTTCTTAATCTTGTCAGGAACATTTGCATTTCTTTGAAAACAGGACACTGTTATTCAAAACCAATTTCTTTTTTGTTAAGGTACCAAGCAGGACGGCAAAGTGAAGAATTATAGAACGTACAAGGTAGCTAATTTTATTTTTTTAAATGCTTATTTCTTGAAAGGCAGAGCAACAGCAGCAGAGAGAGAGAGCTCTTGTATTTGCTGACTCACTTACCAAATGGCTGGGCTGAAGCCAGGAGCCAGGAACTCCATCTGGGCCTCTCACATGGGTGACGGGCCTAAGCACCTGCACCATCATCTGCTGCCTCTCAGGATGCATTAGCCACAAGCTGGACCAGGAGCAGGGTAGCCAGGATGCAAACTGGCCCTCTGCTACAGGAAGCAGACATCCCAAGCCATGGTTTAATCTGGTGTGCTACATTACCTGTCCCTGGTAGCTACTTTACCAATTTTGTTGGATCACATCATGAGGCAGCCCATCAATTTGTGGGTCATTTAGGGATAAACAGAGGGCTACAGACCTGACAACTTAACCATCAATAAAAAGATTTTAGTCAAAGTACTTTTGTGTTGTGGACATAAAGCATTCAACTCCATAGAAACTGTGGCTAACAGAGTCACAAAGATATTGCTAGTGTTACAAATATGACTAACACACGGTAAGGGAACTGTCACTCGCCTCTCCTTGAGTGCTAGAGGCAGGGGCAAAATCGCTGATTTGCTTCTAATCAACAGTATGTGGCAAAGATGATGGGAAAGATAGGCCTTTACTAGGTTCTATGACACTGTATCCTACAAACATGAGAGAGAAACAAAGACTCTTCTTTGTTGGCTTGGGAAATTTAAGTTTCCTTGCTATACGAAGCATCGGAAGAGGGCCAAATGGTAAGGAACCCTGGATCTCTAAAGCTGAGAGTGGTTCCAACTAAGAGCCAGCAAGAAACTGGGGATTCCAGTACTCCAACCGTAAAGGATGAAATTCCATCAACCACTGTATGAGCCTGGAAGAGGATCACATTCTCCAGAAGTTATTGCAGCCCAGTAGACATCCTGAGCAACCCCTTGAGACACCGGGCAGGAACCAGCTAAATTTTTCCCAGAAACATAAGAATTATATGTTATCTTCACACACTAAGTTTATGAGTGCTTACTATACGACAGCCAAAAAACAAATAAAGTATTGCCCCAAGGAGAAGAGAAAATCAAAAGCATGCCCTGTATGGAAACAAACATAGATTGCGAATTTAGCACAAACCGTTGTTCTTTTACTTACTAGCTTATCACAGCTACTGCAAAGACTGAGATGAGGACTAAGTAAGAAAGTTTAAGTATAGTGTTTAGGCTTGCCATGAATATTAAATGCCAGAGAAGTGAGCTCCCTACTGGTTTCCTCTGATATTGTAGTTCAGTTGCAGTCATGGCACCACCTGTTGGCAGCATTGAGATTTGCAACCTGAACCCTCCTACCTGCCCAAATCCGAATCACTAAAAATAGTGGCTTAATGTAATGTACTTGTACTTTGGGATCACCTCTACCCACTGACCTGTTCTTTTATGCATGAGTGAGGAAATATGTTCTGGAACTTCATGCCTGCCCAATATCTAGCACTCTGGGTATTTGGAAACAGGCCAGCAAGTGGAATTCACGGAGGGCAAAGCAGCTTTCGTGGCTAGTCTCGCCTGTGCTGAGACAGCCTTCTACCACACCTCCTGAGGAATGACCACTTCAATCCATTGCTGGCACTCGGTCATTTGCTCATTTGCAAATTCCAGTCCAACATCAGCCTAGATTTGCTTCCATGTATTTTGACATCTTTCTGGAGAACCAGAGCTGCTGCTTCTTTTTTTTTTTTTTTTTAAGATTTATTTATTTTATTTGAAAGTCAGAATTACAAAGAGGCAGAGGCAGAGGTAGAGAGAGAAAGAGAGGGAGAGAGAGAGAGAGAGAGAGGTCTTCCATCTGCTGGTTCACTCCCCAGATGGCTGCAACAGCCAGAGCTACACCAAACCGAAGCCAGGAACCAGGAGCTGCCTCCTGGTCTCCCACATGGGTGCAGGGGCCCAAGCATTTGAGCCATCTTCCACTGCCTTCCCAGGTCATAGCAGAGAGCTGTTTCAGAAGTGGAGCATCCAGACTCAAAGCAGTGCCCATATGGGATGCCAGCACTGCAGGCACTGCATCCCAGCTACATCACAGCACCAGCCCCAAATCATAGCTTCTTGAGGATTTCTATGGCTAAGTTCCTCCCGCATCTCAGATCAGAACCTTCATTATCTGGAAACTGCTACTCATAGGAAGAGAGGGATTCCTAACTGCGTTAAGAATTCTTCAGTTCAGCACAACGTGAAATCAGCTCTGATTGATCCATGGTTTTCTGAGAACTAAAAATTTTAAATCCAATGCAATGTTAACCAACAGGATAGTTTAATAGAAAGAAAATGGCTGAAAAATCTATTGCACCAGTAACTTCCACTGATTTAGTGATTTCCTAGCACTAGAAGGTATTTTTAATAAATTGACTGGGCACATTCTGATTGAATTTTTCTCTTCACAGATTTACAGTTTAATTATACTTCTGTATAGCAAATGATTATAATTTCCTCTTCTATTCCTTCTGTATATTCTCTATTCCTCAAACTTTCCTAGGTGACAAGAATCCATCACATTTATTTTTGCTTTATAATAAAAAATCAGAAATATTGTCAATGTAAAAAAAGCTCTGATTATATTTTTTTCAAATTTGCAGGTATATTTTTGAAGAAAATTGCTTATGGCACAAAACTCTTAGAATATTCCTTAAAACTGAAATGTCACATTGTTAATTACTACTTCTGTATTACTGGTCTTCCTATCAGGCACAATTCTTGATGCTTTTTTGTTGATTTTGTTTTTGCTATCAATCTCAGTTTCAATACCACATTTCATCATGGTTCCTCTTCAAATTTAATTTTATTCATAAATCCAATACAATCTGTGGTAATTTACCTCCGCTCAGATTTAATGCCCTTATTTCTCTCCTTCTTCCCTTCCTTGTCCTCCTCCATAGTATCCCATTACAGAACAAAGTACTCCAGGAAATTAAATACAAGACAAGTGTGTAAAAGCGTTTTGTGATGGAGAAAAGAGTTTACATTTTGCAATTAGCATTCAAGTAACCATAATATAATGAAATTTCAAATGTAATTTTGATTTAAAAATCAGCAAATAACACACATTTTGCTTACAATTTAAAATCAAAATGATGGACTACAAGTTTAGTAATATTCATGTAGCCATAAAATGCCATAAGGAGTGAATTCACAAAGATTACATTCAGTCAGAAAAGTTTCTAGTATGTCAAACTGCTGAATCAATTGGCAATGCTATATCACAACAAAAGTACACATACCTGCAAACAACTAACCTTTAAAGAAAACTAGTAAAAAGAATTCAACTAAAAGAAATATGTTAGCAATACTTACAGTTTCTTTAAGATAGTTAAGAATTCTGCTATTTTCTCTGGGGATACTTTTGGTCCATGTAAATCTTGGCCACCACGTGCTTTTCTAATATGGACAGCTATATCGTGAGAATCATCAGGATCCTGGTATTGACTGTCTTCTACATTTACTTTAGGTTTTCTGAACAAGAAAAGCATATTTTATTATACTGCATACTGCTCAGAAATTGGCAAAGACTTTTGTTATCAATGGTAGAAACACTGTTCTGAGATAGTTTAGCATTTTAATAACATTACTTTTTAATCTCTTGGGAGTCTTTTTCAATAACCCCTAGTAGAGATGCACACCACTATAAGTCCGAAAATTAACATTTACAAAACATTTTAATGTATAAAATTTGATTACATGTATTATAATTGTCTTAAGCAACTGAAATACTTTTAATAATATAATAGATTTACATAATTTAGGAAGATATTTCAAATCAATAGCTAACATACTTCTTGTTATACAACTTTTTTTTCAGTATTTTATACCAGTAATTATAAATTGTTTGGTCTATTGGTATTTGTTTCCCACTGGTAAATTTCAAACTTCTTGAATGTAGTCCCCCTTTAAAGTGTGAACATCTATCAGATTGCTCTACTCTTGGGCTATACATAATACACCAAAGTCCCCAAGATATGAATAAAAATTTTCCATTTCCCATTAATTTTTCCAATATCAATAATTCCTATTAAGAGGTCACTGAAAATAAGGGGCCAGGAATCCAACAATTGTTGCCATCTTTGAGGAAGAAACAGTGGATAAGATAATAAAAACCCAAATGATCACAGATCATGCTTAGGTCACAGCCTTTAATTGATATGAAAAAAGATGAAAATATAGTTAAATATAAGAGATTGTGTGGAACATTAATAAGAATGAAAATTATCACATTAATATCTAAAATGTGTTGAGATTTTAAATGTGCTGGCTACCCTGCTGAACATTACATGCACATTTTCTCATTAACACTAACCAAGTGAAGTAAAAGATATTATCTGCAGTTTATAAGATAAGGAAATTTCAGCCTGAAAAATGGCTAGTACAGCTGAAAATGTTTTTATCTACAGTTCACAGATTATTAAAGTTTAATAGTAGAATTTTCTGAAGTATACATATGAGAAAAACAATAAATTCCTAGCAGAACTTAAATACAAAAATCAAATTTAAAACCAGAAGCCAGTTCCCCTTTGATCACTTTCACATAATCTCAACCATTCCATCCACAGAGACCTAAACCTCCTAGTTTCTCCTCTAAATAGAATGGAATGGTAAATACAGTACAATTCAGCCACGATGAGAATTTAGGAATAGAGCAATTGACTGTTTTCCTCTACCCAGCCCAGATATTCAAATGGAATTAGTTATTATTTTCTGACGAAGAGGAGTTTCATGGACTGGAGGGTGAGGTAGAGGTCAACATGGCCGACTGTAGCAGAAATGTGGAAAGTTAGTCCCCGCAGATTCAGTATTTTGGGTTAAGTTCCTCAGATTTGCTCAGAACAGGAGATTCCTGGGATTCCTGTTTCAGTCTTGGCAATCTCAAGGCAGCCAAAGGATTTAGAACCATCCACAGTGATATGTAAGCCACTGAGGCCCACTGCTGCCAGGACATGCCAAAGCACCAAAAGCAACAAGAACAAATACTCAGATGGGACATGTCTATTGATTCATGTATTCATTCATTCATTAAATCATGTCTTGTGCTCTTCAGGAATTGGTAGAAAATAGTGTGCATTCATATTTATGTGGTAAAATGCAATAATACAATATGTAGAATCTTAAGAATCTGGTCATACGGATTCAAAATTATATTTTCAGAGTGTGTAAAAATGTTTTACACATGCACGCACAGTGAGTAAGGAGTTTCAGGAGAGCCATGGTCGTGATTCAGGTCTTTTCTGGCAAGCTGTGTTGGTGATCTCAGACTTCTACAGACTTCCGTATCATACAATTACTTGCCCCTTTGAATTTTTAGTAAAGTTTGATACTAGATAAAATCTCTCATTTTTATTTGATAATCTAATACTTTATATGACTCTCAGACCTCTCAAATTTTTTTTCATACAAGTCCTATATATTCCATGATAAGTTTGTTTCAAAATATATAGTATTTGTATTATGTTGTTTGTATATGTCATGTCTATTAAACAACAAAAAAGACTATACATATTTCAGGTAAATAAAGGAAGAAAAAAACAAATACTAATATACATAACAACCTAAATTTTGAAAATGGAGCCATACCAGCATAGAATACAACCCAACTACTCTATGGAGACATGCTCTAGACATGGCCACTATCCTGCATTTGGTTTTCATTACAAATTTTTCAAATGTATATGCATTTCTTTAAAGAAATCATTTTAGCTTTATGTATTTTTAAGTTTTAAAGAAATTAGTTGATTCTTGGAGATTCTGTAATTTTTTATTATTCTTTAACATTGTGTTTTCAAGATTTAATAACTAGTTCATGGTCGGCGCCGTGGCACAATAGGCTAATCCTACACCTGCAGCGCTGTCACACTGGGTTCTAGTCCTGGTCGGGGCGCAGGATTCTGTCCCAGTTGCCCCTCTTCCAGGCCAGCTCTCTGCTGTGGCTCCGGAGTGCAGTAGAGGATGGCCCAAGTCCTTGGGCCCTGCACCTGCACGGGAGACCAGGAGAAGCACCTGCCTCCTAGCTTCAGATCAGCGCGGTGCGCCAGCCGCAGCGCGCCGGCCGCAGCAGCCACTGGAGGGTGAACCAACGGTAAAAGGGAGACCTTTCTCTCTGTCTCTCTCTCACTGTCCACTCTGCCTGTCAAAAACAAAACAAAACAAAAAAAAAAAAAAACTGTAGTTCATTTATTTTACTGCTGCAAATACATATGGAGAAATTTATAAAAGTTCATGGAAAGATGGATATAAAAGTTTATTTTGGTGCAAAAAAAATTTCCATGAACTTTTTTAACAGTGCTCAATTATTATATACCACAAATGAATTTTTTTTGGGGGGGATGTGGCTTTTGGTGTGTTTTTGCCATTTTCCTAGTCTGTACACAATTCAATGTTGGTTTCCAGGCTTGTTTATTTTGTTTGCTTGTTTCCTGTGTACAGACTTGGCAACTTCAGCTAGTCTCATGAATGTAAGACTTCTCCAGAGGACAGGCCCAGGTGTGGAATTGTTGGGTTATAATTTATGAATAGCCTCAATTACTAGAAACATCAAATTCTTTTCCAAAATGACTACAAATGGTTTAGAGAATATACACAGATTTATCTCCTAAGTAGAAATTAAAATTAGAGAAGCTCAAACTGGATAAAATATTTTAGATATCTTAAGATCACCTTTAAAATAGCAATATATTTCTATATGCTTATAAAATAACAAGATGTGGTGTTCCTTCTCCATGCATAACCTAAATTCCTTCTATTCACAATTCAGTTCTAGAAATATTTGCTCAACTCTTAACCCAGGAACAATAATGTTCATTTTCTTCAGGATCTCAGCTCCCAGGTGCAAACTGTTTCCATTTTTCCACTTTTACTCCTCTATTTTCCCACCCACAGAACATTGCTAAATTAATCACACACCTGGGTGATTACAAATCTACATTATCTAATTTTAACTGATCCTTGATTTTGTTCAACCTTCCTACAGCTATTTCTCAAGCTCTTACACACTCACCTCAATGACTTTCACCTCAATGACTTTTTCAAACCCTTTTATATATTGTATATACAACTTCTGCCAGTACTAATGCTCTTGACCTATGATTATTAATAATTATTGAGGATAATGAGGATACAGCACTCTGCTCTAGTGTTACCAAAGCTGGCCTTACAATTAATTTATTGAAGAAAATTAAACGCAAATAAAATGTGGTCTAAATTTTCAGAATTTCTCTTTGCTTCTTCAAGTAGATCTTAGCTCTAGGGGGTTAGTCTAATGAATGAAGCAGGTACCTAATATGGTGCCAACTTGGGGGCATAGAAAGGCAAATTTCTTGACATCAATAGTAATCTGGGGAAAATTTCAATCTTTGAATTATATCCATTTGAGCAATAAAACCGACTCCCTTTGAATCAAGATGGACTACCCCCCCTTAGTTGTATATGGCCTTCTATGAATGAGATTTATATGACAAGATGTAGGCATCTACTTCTTCAGCTGAACTCAATTTCAGCAGGTCCACTACCTCTTAGCTGATGATGTCATACTTTTTCATTATTAGGATATTGGTCAGGAATTCCTTGCAGTAACAACAGCAGGAATCTCCCATCCCTTAAGATCTGGATAAAGTCCTGGGAAGATCTATGAATGTACAAAGCTCTCCCTCAGCAGTTGCACAAGAGAATACATTCTGATGCCACTGCTGTTGCTGTGCTTCTGTTTTCTGTCCACTCTTTATGATATTCTTTATTCAGAATGGAAAAAAAAATCTTTTCTTAAATTTCCTCAAAAATACTAAACCATTTAGCACACATGCAAAAGCAGTAGATATACCAAATACTAATTCTATGCTAAAGAGATGCTGTATCATACGTGACACAGCATGTTTGAAATCCATTAATAAATCTTTCCTTTCTGAAACATCCCCACCTCCATCCCCAGCATCATAGTTTCTCCTCATTCAGTGCACAGCCTCCTCCAATTACTTGCTGACTTCTGTTGCTTTTCTCTGACTTTCGTGGCTCCTGGATTAGAGCAATTAAAACCTCAGCATTACTCTTCAGACCCTTCTCATCAAAACTGTCAGGAATGAAACATGGGAGGGCTTCCCTTTCAACATAATCTATCATTCCTCAATGGTGGTTGAAATTGCAAAGGACTTGTTTTTGACTCAGAATTAAAACTTTCTTGTGACAGTCCACATTAATGCAAGGAAATCCAATTCATATAGACAATTCCTATAAGTTGTCCATCATAGCACAACAATAATGGCTAAGGCTATCTAGGTTTCATTTTTATGTCACAGTAAATAATTTCACTTGAGCTTCATAGGAGAAGATCAGAACATAGCTGAAGCATTTCACTAAATTTCTATGAACCTCCTTCTTCATCCACTCATACGATTCTCCAAAAGGTCCAATATTACATACGTGAGCTGACATAACAGTCCTTCATTTACCCCTTGCCTTATCTTTCTGTTTCC